GTATATTTCTGTCTAAATATTTAAAAAATATTTGGCAAAAGCTTTGCCAAAAATAATTTATATGTTGAAAGTATTGGTGAGTTAATTTAACATGGTAAGACAAAGAATAGGTGTTACTTAACATATGTTATCTTAGAACTAATATTAACTTTCCAAATGATAACTTTTTTACAATAACTTTTTTCATTAAAATGAAAATTAGTTTTATTTCTCTCTGTGTTCTTTTTCTTTTTCTTTTTTTTGTCGGTCTTGGGGCTTGGACTCTGGGCCTGGGCACTATCCCTCAGCTCTTCAGCTCAAGGTGAATGCTTTACCACTTGAGCCACAGCACCACTTCCTATTTTTCTTTTTCTCATTAAAAAATTTCATCATTAAGCTGAATGAAGATAGAATGGGATAAATAAATTATAGATCGATTTGGTATTTCAGTTTTAAACCTTACCTTTTAGCAATAGGTGTTCCCTGGGGAATTTTTTTTTGCTTTATTTTCATTAGTGTATGACATATCAAAATTTCACTTTTTTTTACATAGTCCTGTGTATCCTGACAAATGTATATATTCATGCAAACCACAATTAAGACACATAATATTGCCCTAATCTGAGGGGGAAAAATACTCAGTCAATACCTTCCCAACATGTGAGCCGCCGAAAACCCTGATCATACTTTCTGTTCCTTTAATTTTGTCTCTGCAAGAATATATAAATGGAGGATTACCTTTGGATGAGTATGTTGCCTTTGGATGAGACTCTTGTATTAGACATTCAGCCATGCTGTGGATGTGCTGCAGTTCATGCCTTTGCCTTACTGGCTAGAATCTACTGTGTGGAAGTATGCAATATATTGTTATGTGTCCTCTGAGCAATAGCTCTCATATTTTTCTGATAACCATTTAACTTTTGTTTCTATTTTTTTGTCCATCTTTTATTTTAATAAGGACATTTCTTTCTTGCTGCTGGGCTGTTTGGGTTTCTTATATTTTGTAGATACACACCTCTCATCAGATGTGTTTTGAAAATATTTTCTTCCATTCCATTTTTTGAGCATATAGTTATCTAGTTATTTCAGCATTATTTACTGAAAAAACTTTACCCTCGGGCTGGGGAGGTGGCTCAGTGGTAGAGCGCTTGCCTTGCATGCCTGAGGCCCTGGGTTCGATTCCTCAGCACCACATAAGCGAAAAGAAAAAAGCCAGAAGTGGTGCTGTGGCTCAAGTGATAGAGCGCTAGCCTTAAGCTGAAGAGCTGAAGGACAGCACCCAGGCCCAGAGTTCAGGCCCCACAACCGGACCAAAAAAAAAAAAAAAACTTTACCCTCCACTGAACTGCCTTTTTACCTTGGTCAAAAGATGATTGGTTATATACTTGTGAAACTATTTCTGTACCCTTTTGCTCATTGTTCTTGTCTTAAATCAATTTTTCTCCAGTAGCTCTTTCCTGACTATTGTAGCTTTAGAGTAGTAGTACATTGATAAACCAAGCACTAAATGTGAGATTGGTAACTTTGAAGAGAATGTGCAGTCTTTCTTTAGAGTTCTCCATATATTAATTCTTTTAACTTACTTGATGACACTCACGTATCTTATATCCTTGCTGAGAGTTGGCTTTATGTATCTATGGATTGCTGACAGAGTATTGAAGTCTCCAAGCATATTAATGGATTATTCTATTTTTAATTTTTTAAAATTATTTTTAGTTGAACAAAGTAGTTTATGAAAAAAATGCATCTTACGTAGTGTCACCCCCTTCAGCTTACTCCTTCCCTTGCTTTTCTTAATGTTGTGGTATATACAGTGAATTCTTGACTGCATCTTTCCCCCTTTCCTCCTCATTTGCCTACCCCTCTCCCCTTGACCCTACCTCTCCTCTTGCATTGTACCCCTTCTCTGATGGGCTTTAATCTAGTCTTTATTAAAAAGAAATTATACTATTTGAACTGTCTATAGAGTCTTTTATATTTCCGGTAATTCATTTGTAACATACCATCCAACATACTCACTTAAAGATCCATCTACCACAAGTGAGGGAAACAATGCAATCTTCATTTTCTGGGTCTGGCTTACTTCACTTAATATAATTTTTTCCCAAGTCTTTCCATTTCCTTAGGAATGGTACAATATTATTTTAATAGGTGAGTAAAATTTCATTGTGTGTATATATATATATATATATATATATACATATATATATATCCCATTTTCTTGATTCATTCGTTCATTGAGGAGCATCTGGGCTGATTCTATATCTTGGCTATGGTGAATAATGCTGAGATGAACATGGTTCTGCTGATGGCTTTACTGTAACCTTGTCTGTATTCTATTGGATAAATGACCAGCAGTGGGATTGCTGGGTCATAGGGTAGCTCTAGGCAGTTTAGTTTTCGAGGAGCCCCTATACTGCTTCCCAGAATGGTTGAAAAAGCTTACATTCCCACAATGTATCAGAGTACCCTTTTGGCCAAATCCTCACCAACATTTGTTGTTGTCTGTTTCTTGATAATGGCCATTCTGACAGTGAGGTGGAATCTCTGTTGCATTTACTTTCATTCCCCGTATGGCCAGAGATGTTGAACATTTCTTCATGTGTCTGTTGCCTATTTTTGCTTCTTTTGAGAGTCTCTATCTCTCTCTCTTTTAAGTCATTAGTCCATTTATTACTTGGGTTGTTGTTTCTTTGAAAGTTTATTTTTGAGGTGTTGCTACTTTGAGCTCTAAGTATGTTCTAGATATAAAGCCCTTGACTGATGTATAGCTGTGAAAAAAAAAATCATTTCCCAATCTGTGGGCTTTCTTTTTGACTTGTCAGCTACGTACTTTACCAGGCAGAAACTTCTAAGTTTTATAAAATCCCATTTATCAAGACTTTCTTTGATTTGTTGTGTTTCTTGAAAAATTTTGATCTGTTCTAGGAGCTCAGGTGTTTCCCAATCCTTTCCTATATGAGCTTCATAGCTTCCATTCTTACATTGCATTTTTTTATGTTTCAGTTTATCAGTTTTGCTTCTTGTGTTTTGAAAGCTTGTTATTAAGTGCAAACCCATTTAAAGTCATTATTATTTTAGAGAGTTGACCTTTTAAAAATTATCTTTATCAATTTTCTGCATCTATTTTGTCTGATATTAATCTAGCCACTTCTTTTCTGTTTATCAAGATTTTTCTAGTATTTTTTGTTGTTTATTTTATTGTTTATTTATTTATTTGGTCATGGGGCTTGAACTCAGGGTCTGGGCACTGTTCCTGAGCTTTTGTACTCAAGGCTAGCTTCTCTACCATTTTGAGCTACACAGCTCTACTTCTGGTGTCTGGTGGTTAATTGGAGATCAGAGTCTCACAAACTTTCTGCTTGGACTGCTTTTGAACTGCAACACTCAGGTCTCAGCTTCCTGAGTAGCTACGACTACAGGCATGAGCCATCAATGCCTAGCTCATTTTACTTATTAAAACTATTTATGTTTTTGCTTTTAAAATACTTTGGAAAGCCTAAGCTTAGTTATGGATCTAATATAATTGTTTCTAATTTTTAATTGATGGTCTATAAGATTTACATTTGATATAATCATTGGAATATAACTGATCAACATTGTTGGTTGTTTTATTTATTAAGGCACTCATTTTTTTCACCTCTGAGTTTTATTTTTGATTATAATGTTTTAACTTTATTATTGATTTTTCTTTTAAATAATTGTTTTATTTACTACTGTAGGTTATACAATACAATCTGTATTTAATCAGTATCTACTAAAATAATATCACATAACTACTTGAAGAATAAAAACTTAACAATAGTATTTTACCAATCTATCCCTTTTTCATGCTCTTTACTCATATATTTTATTTCTACATATTCTATAAACACAAAGTATTATATTCTTTTCTTTAGATACCTATCTCATTTCCTTACTTATGTTAACTGTAACCATTCTCTACATCACCTCTACAATAAAATTTTAAAAATAAAGTAATTAAAATAAGAAAAGAAATGATTTTGGGGTTTGTAAAAATGTATTATCTGTAAGTAGTTGTACTATTCCACAATGAATATTTTTACTCACTTCATTTCTAGAACCCCTTTTTAAAATATATTCTTCCATTATTTCTTTATGTGTACGTTGTCTTCCAAAGATTTTAAATGTAATAATGTTTTTTCTTAGCCATTAACAAATACAACACGCCAGGCCTGATTTCTCAGGGTCTGTTAAAATTGTATTAGGTTTGGATAGCTGGGAGCATGCCTGACTTTTAAATTCGTTGTGTTCACATAGAGTTGCAGAACCATAGGAGTGAACAAATCACAAGTGGTCCTTTGGCCTGGTCTTCAAAGTCTGAAGGATTTGCTTTAAACTGACCCTATTTTAAGATATTCCCTGAAGTTCTCTTTCTGAAGTTGATACTTAAATTCTAAACTTGTTTGGTCTGTGGTTCTCTTTCTGTTGTCTCTGTTACTCTTATTCTTGCTTTCTGTGTGAGACAAAATCCTTCAAACCACACTTTTTAAATGCATCCCTTTTTTTGTAACTTTACTCACAGATAAAAATAGCTACTGAGTCCATCCCTACTATTCTATTTTATGGTTTACACAAAAAAAAGGGAAGGGATGGTGGGTCTCCAGCTCTTTTGCCATTCAGAATAAGTACTGACTGATCAAACCTAATAAGAATGGTGAATGCCCTCTCTCCTAAGGCATATGCTTTATTTTACTGCAGATATATACCACATACTTTTAGCAAACTCTGGTATACTGAATTCTGGTGGGCATTCTCCAAAATTTATGTTTACCCGAAGAGCTGATTTCCTTGAGAGCCTCTTGATTGAACTGGGCAGGAAGACTAGAGTAGGCCCAAAAGCTTATCATTTCTCTGAGCATACTTCATGGAGTTGTAACATCTAATAGGAGATGGACACTTGTGAGTTATGGGTAATTGCAAGAGACACTATTGTCAAGCTTTCCCCTGTTCAATCATGTCCAAAGCATAATATTTTCTTTTTCTTTTTCCCCCTCAAGGGGTGCTACATCCATTGTGTACAGATGCAAACAGAAGGGGACCCAGAAGCCTTATGCTCTCAAAGTATTAAAGAAAACAGTAAGTTTGTTTCATTATATAATAGTATCTCTGAGGGAGCTGTGGCCTGAGAGATGAGGATTCTGACTCAAGGTCAGGAGCTGCTGTGTGTGGTTGACTGCTTTGAATCTTGACTGTGAGCATATACCCTAAATGAATTGTTGTCTGATGGAGCCATCCAACCCTTTACAAGCCACTGGATCTTGGACTGGATATGATTTGTGGGGACACATTTTATATGTCACATTTAAATATTTAAATATTAGAATCTCATTTTACTCTACTGGAAAAGCTTGCTTCTTAAAAGAAGCAGAAATGAAACACAAATATCTCTGTGAAACAAGTCACGTCCTGCTCATTTTTCTACGTCCTCAGAAGTTAGCATTTCAATGACTAAACCTGCTATAATTTGAAGGTAAGATTTTGTTTGGGGAACATTTCTGTTGCCCTAAACTCATGAGTGAGGAAGAGGCCAACCAAAGTGTCTTATCCTCTCTTAATGAGTGACACACATAAGCATAGAGCCTGTGCAATGGCTTGTGGCCTTTCCTGGACCTTCTATCCTTAGATAATTTTCTCTCATCAAACCACAAAGGCACATGATACTCATAGCACATTATTCTTTTTCAAATTTTATGTGAACAAGTATATGAAGCACATACTTCTGAAAACCCAGTTGTAATAATACATCCTTAAGAGAGAAGTGTCGCCAGGCACCAGTGGCTCACGTCTGTACTTGTAGTTACTCAAGAGGCTGAGCTCTGAGGATCACAGTTCAAAGCCAACTGAAGGAAGAAAGTCCATGAGACTCTTATCTCCAATAAATCACCAGAAAAATGGAAGTGGCGCTGTGGCTCAAGTGGTAGAAGGCTAGCCTTGACTCAAGTGGTAGAAGGCTAGCCTTGAGCTGAAGAGCTGAGGGACAGTGCCCAAGCCTGGAGTTCAATACCACACACACACACACACACACACACACACACACACACATACAGACACACACAAGAGAGAGAGAGACAGAGAGAGAAACACAGAGAGAGATAGAGAGAGAGAGGTGTCATATATTTGATGTCAAATACCTTTTTTAGGCCAAAGAAGTATGATCTTTGTCACCTCCTCCCGCTAGACACTTAATATCACCACCAGCTGTTTATTCCCCAGGGGAACTTTAGAACTGTCCCGGGGAAATTTAGAACTTCATAGAACAAAGAGTGAAAAATATATAGTGGCACAGGCTTTTTAATCAAGTGGAAATGGAATGACATTTGGAAACAATATGCTGGAGTTTAAAGCAACATAACAAAAACAGTTGAATCAGGGAACTATAAAAAGAACTAGATATATGGAAATCTAGGAAATAAGCATTCAGAAATTACTTGTGAAATGCTCAAGAACCCCACAGGCAAATCTGGCTTAGAGAATATTGGTTTATGAAAAAGCAATCTTTGCTAGGTAAAGATATTTGATATTTAGTGGGTTCTTCACTCCTATTCATTGGGAAAGTACAGCTCTTTGATCCCCCTCCCTGCTTTTCCCTCTGCACCTTGGCTGTTAAACACCATTCTCCTAAGTTAGGCAGGAAAAGAATGTGGATGGGAACCAAGTGTCAAATGGAGCTGTAAGGCAGATATTGTCAAACACAGTTACTGCTGTGCCAAGTGGAATGAGAGGAAATCCCCTGGAGGAGCCTCAGTTCTGAATTAGATGGAATCCCAGCATTGTCTTCAAGGGTAAACCATGTGCAGAGATGTGTAAACGAGAGAAAGGGCAGGCCAGACCTCAAAGCACAAACTGCCTCCAGTGTTTAATTCCACAGAGGTCCCTGAGATGGAAACTTCCTTGTTTAAATGAAATGAGTGCATACTAAGGAGCTATTTATAGAGGGAAAGTGATGCTTGGGGAAATACTTTTTTGGAGAATTCAGCAAAAGTCTGGTGCCTGAGGATAAAAGAGGATTTCAGAGAGCTTGAATTATTTATGTAATCTACCTATTAAGTTGAACTACATAAAATTGCCTCTATATTAAACTATTTCTCACCTATAAAATGGCAATTTTACTTCATTTAATAACAGCCATGAGATGTCAGATCCTTATTTTATGACAAGAGCCAAATATAAGATATCTGAATCCTAAACTTAGCCTGCCAACATCTGTCTGTCTGTCTGTCTATCCCTCTGTCTGTCCATCTATCCATCTAACATCTGTCTGCCTTAATTTTCTAGATGTAATGAAATAAACTACCAATAATTGGTGGCTTAATACAATAGCAATTCATTCTCGCAAGGATCAGGAGTATCTGTTCTGTATCCTTTGCTTCTCACCCAGCTTCTTGTGAGAGAGGGCAATTCCAGATGTTCATTGACTTGTAGATTGTCATTGTGATCTCCATCTCCACTGTCATGTGCCATCTTCTCCCTTCATCTTCCTACAGTTCGCTCTGTGTCTAGATCACTCTTCTATGAAGTAAACCAGTACTGCTGGGTGGTAGATCTATCATCTTCTAGCATGATCTCATCTTGACTAATTACACATCATCTGTAACAACATAATTTCTAAGTAAAGACACACGTATTTTGTGGTTTGGGGGTAGACACAGTTCTACCTATAATATCTATCAGGTAAGAGTGAGAACGTGAATTTCAAATTTCAAGAATAATTACAAAGAAACAACTCAATTTATAGATGATTTAACTAGTATGTAAACATTTTATGCCTAAGAAATGTTTCTTAACTCTTTTACAGTTAATTTGTTGATAACATTATCTTCCTCAGAATACATTTTTCCAGGGTAACCCAGATTCCTTTTAGGACAATATTAAGTTCTTTTCTCAGAGAGTAACATTTTAGGAAGAATTAATTCAAGTTAACAATAAAAGACTTACTTCCCCGTAAAAAACTTTGATCACAGTTAGGAATCCATTATACACTCAAATGCTGGCATGATAGACAAATACCCTGGCTTGAATTCAGGGATGTAGAGAGAGTCTGGTTCTGATGGAGAAATGCATGGGCCATCAGTAGTCAGGTACAGAATCCAGTGAATACTAATAATGAGCAGGAAGTAAATTTTCATGTTTTAGACAAGTGAGCATTTTACTCACTTGGGAAATGAACACGTAACTATTATAAGAAAAATATGTTTAACTTGACCTTTATTTTGTATGGGAATATAACATCATATACTTTATATGGTATAGTTTATATAGATAATTACATTTCAAAGAATTAGAAAACACTAAAGTACATGTCAACCAGTGTTATAATATCTACAATTTTATTTTAAGTGGTTAAACAATAAAAATATGTATGTATATACATGTGCATGCATGTATGGTGATAGGATGAGATAAAGTAAATATGGCAGACAACAATTCTAATTACTGAATGTAGGGCATTATAAGAATGTCCATGATGGTTTTCAACATTTGAGTAAATATGAACATTTTCATAACGAAAACTTAGGAGAAAAACAAAATTCAGCGTTCTGTTCAACATAATTGAACATATTTTTAACCATTCAAAAAGCATTTCAAGAATTTACAGCCTTTTGTATCATGATAAACATTGCTAAACCTCATAGATGTAATAAAGTACAAAAACAGTAGAAATAGCTGTTGAATTGATACTTTTTTATCATCTCTCTTTTTTTGTAAAGATGACATACAGAAGAGTTACAGTTACATAGATCAAGTAATGAGCACATTTCTTTATTAACAGTGTCACATTGTCCCTTCATTTTCTCCCAGTTTTTTCCCTCCCAATCCCTCTTCCCTACAAGTTATATCGTTTATTTCCAACATAGTGTCTAGTGAGTATCACTGCTGAATTAATTCACCCTTTGTCCCACTATTTGTGTACTCCCTCTTGCCCTCCCCCAAACAGATAATCTTATATAAGACAAAAGGTACAGAAATCAAAAACAGCAACAAAGGAGAAAAAAATATTTTACTGAATTGAAAATCCTAGACAATTCCTGTAACATTTCCTGTCACTTTGATAGTATTAAAGGTAGGGGAATAGACTGGAGTACTTTGTTGGTTATTCGTTTATTTTCCATTATAGATTCTTGTGGCAACAGCGTTGTGGAATCACTAGGTATGCCACTCATTCTTCCTTTGCCTGGGGTACGGTGCAGGGAGAGTTGGCTTTGTGTTTTGGTTTTGGGCATTACTGGAATTTGAACACAGAGCCTCACATTTGTCTATCTTAGTGTGGTTCTTGTGCTTTTGGCTTTCCCCTCTGGCACCCTTCCTTACACGCACGCATGCGTGCGCGCACACACACACACACACACACACACACAAACACACACAAACACACACCTACCTAAACAAAACAAAAAAAACCCTCTTAGTCTCAGTCCTGTCTACAAAATGAGGACTGTCTTCTTTTGCAAATAAATCAGTCCCTTTGAGTCTGGCTTTCATGTATGCAACTGCTTTAAGAACATTGTAAGTTTGTTCTGAAATATATTGTTATGTACCCCATGCCCCCAAAGTCAATTTTTTTTCAGAATGATTTTGCTGTGCTTTGAATGTGTCATGCTGCTGTAGAACAATGCTTTAAAAAAGTCCTAGAATTTCTTTCTTCCAATGGGGAGTGTCTACTAAGCACAATCTTAAGTATTTCTAAGTCTTAAAAATACAAGCTTGCCAATTACTGGTGGCTCATGCCGGTAATCCTAGCTACTCAGGAGGCTGAGACCTGAAGCATCTTGGTTCTAAGCCAGGAAGATCAGAATTGAGATTCCAGCTCCAATTAAGCAGCAAAATGTGGGACTGGAGGTGGCAAAAGTGGTAGAGTGCTTGTCATGAGCAAGAAAGCAAGAAGGAGTTTGAGCTCAAGCACCACTACCTACACCCACACCCACATCCCCCCCCCACACACACTTTTCACTGATTTTTGAGACTACATATCTAAAACATGATCTGAGCTCATGACTGACTGATATTATGTCTAACAGGAAAATGTAACTGTCTTCATAATGAAACACAATGTCTAAAATGTGAGCATATTCTGCCCT